GCCGCGCTATTGGCTGCGGGGCGGGGTGGAGGGCGGTGCCGCTGGGTCAGCGCCGTTGTGGGCAGAGCGAGCGGCTGCGCGTGCGCGGAGGCGACGTGGGGGCGGTGAGAGACGTTGGGGTCTGTGCGGAGAGAGAGAGGGAAAAGGAGACGGAAAAGGAGACGTGGGACGGGGCGAGGGGATAACGGCYGGGAAGGGAGCAGGAGCCTCCGCTTACAGCGGCCTGCGGGTGGGCACAGCCCTGCGCACCCCCCTCCCCGTCCCGATGCGTGCGCGGCCCTCTGGCCCTGAGGTGACGGGAGCGCAAAGGGCGCACGGGAAAACGCGACCGTTAGAGCTGAGCCCAAACGGGTGYGGGTTTCTAGGAGAAGCTGGGATTGCCGCTTGTTTGACTTGTGCTGTCTGTCTGTCCGTCTTCCAGAAAGAAATGAGACCTCAGCTGAAGTTGTCTGCCTGATACTGAAGAAGAAACGCGGTGGTGGTGCTGACTAAAGACTAAAACCTCTCTTTATGGCCCCTATCAAGCTGTGTGTGAGAGAATTTATCATACTGCTTCAGATCTAGGGAGCTTTGTTAACATGCCTGAAATAAAAGTCACTCCCTTGGGTAAGTGTAAATCTCAAATACAGTTAAAGGGGGAATGCTGGAAATTTCTGTATGTTATGATTTCCTTGAAAACTCAGTCTGTTCGTTTCTATCTTAGAGATAGAAATAACATTCTATGCTGCTGGATATGTATGTGCCTTTCCCTGCCTCAAGAACTCATCTCAGTGGCACTTGCATGTTACATTTGTAATGCTGGCGTGGTTATTGTGCAAACAAGTATGATGCAAAGAGAGCCTGTGAACCCTATTCCAGAATGAAAAAATTAATTAATAGATTGGTGGTAGAGTACTGCAGTGATACTGGAAGGAGGCTCTCAAGCTTAGGGAATGGGTAGGTGAGCTCACATCTGCCTCCCTGTGACAGATCCACTTGCTTGGAGGAAGGATGTGGTCTTTGCACTGGAAGGGAGTCAGGGCTGTAGAATAAGGTTTATAGAAACCTTTCAGTGCTTCTCTTTTGAAGTGACAGTAAGTATCACTAAGGATTCTGTGCTTGTCTTCCTTTCCTTTGGGTCCAGGGGCTGGCCAGGATGTGGGACGCAGCTGCATCCTCGTGTCCATCGCAGGGAAAAACGTAATGCTGGACTGCGGGATGCACATGGGCTACAATGACGATGTGAGTGCAGTGGGGAAACCTGAACGTTGACTGGAGATGCTTTTAAGGGAAATGTGCCAGGCTTCCCTAGCAGATCCTGGTTCGCTGTCCTGGCCACCTTGCCTTTGAACACTGTCTGATGCATCTTGCACGGCACATGGGTGCCCTTGGGTGGCTGTCAGTTATTGGACATCTGTATCAACCACTTTTGCTTTAAAGATTACCTTGTTTGTAGCTTGCTTATAATTCATTTATTTGCAAGGCGAGTTCTCTGCCTTTCCCTCTGAGTCTTCCTGCACTTTTTCTGTTCGACTCTTTCTGTCCATAAATCTTGACAATGTCAATACAGCTCTTACTGTGTTGCTGACACTAAGACAACATGTTGCCAGTGTTGGGAATGGTTCATGCTATTCTTCTGCTGGGTTAATTGGTTGTAACGTTAGTTGGCTGTGTTTGGCAAGGGATAACSAGCTTTTTCAATGTTTTTGCAGAGGCGCTTTCCTGACTTTTCTTACATCACTCAGAATGGAAGACTGACTGACTTCCTAGACTGTGTRATTATCAGGTGAGAAAACTCAAAGGGAAAGCAAGAAACTTTCTACACTCTCCTTTCCCTGTGATTTGTTAAACTTGTAACCCTAATAAGGTTAGGGTTTGTTATTCATATTTTGTTTGCTTGTTTAGTTCCAGTTTCAAATTTCAAAAGCATTGCAATGTTTCCTTCACATTTTGTGTCTTTTTGCAGCCACTTCCACTTGGACCATTGTGGAGCCTTACCATACTTCAGTGAAATGGTTGGCTACGACGGACCGATTTACATGACGCATCCTACCAAGGCCATCTGCCCAATCCTTCTGGAGGACTACAGGAAAATCACTGTAGATAAGAAAGGGGAAACTAACTTCTTCACATCCCAAATGATTAAAGACTGTATGAAAAAAGTTGTTGCTGTTCATCTTCACCAGACAGTTCAGGTAAATGACCATTGCTGCACCCTCCTTGGTCAAACCAACTGGATTTTGGTAGAAGGAAGAGTGATTTTTCTCTTTTCTAAAATGTTTACACTACTGCAGTGTTTGCCTGTTTACACAGGTGGATGAGGAGCTGGAGATCAAGGCGTATTATGCTGGCCACGTGCTAGGAGCAGCCATGTTCCAGATTAAGGTTGGATGTGAGTCTGTTGTTTACACTGTAAGTAACAGCAACACATATAGAGACTTTAAATCATAACRCATATAGAGACTTTTAATCGTGTGSATTCCTTTACGTTGAGAAAATAAATGGATTTCTCTTCTTCTATTAGGGTGATTATAATATGACTCCAGACAGACATTTAGGGTAAGTGGAAAGCTGAATTTTATGATTTGTGTGTGTTTCAAACAGGAAGGTTTTAGCAGCAGCTTCTGTTATTCTGTAGGCGTTATTGCTTCTTTGTTTCTGGGAGTTTGGAGTATTTTCTGAGGTCTTTGCTAGAAAGATGAAGGCAATTTTTAATTAGGAGAAAGAACAAATTGGGATTGATTTCTCAAGTTAGACCTTATTGCAGTCTTGTTCTTCTTGTTCTTGGCCTATATATCAGAAAAAAACTGTGAAAGTTCTAGGTGATTTTTGACAAATCTCTCCATTTCTAKTGGATCATTAATGCCAAATACATCTTAATTTGATAAACTTCTAAATTTTTATTTTGTTTTAGTGCTGCGTGGATTGATAAGTGTCGCCCAGATTTATTAATAAGTGAATCCACTTATGCCACAACTATCAGAGACTCCAAACGCTGCAGRGAAAGGGATTTCTTGAAGAAAGTTCATGAGACTGTAGAAAGAGGAGGGAAGGTATGCCTGTGGGATCATCTACGTAACGATCATCTACTTGTCCAGTCTGTGACACTCTTGTTGGGTCTGTCTTCTAATGCTAACTAACTTTGGCTCCCACACAAAACCGTTATATGAAACTGATGGGTTTCTTGTATTGCTGCATCTGTGCTTTAAAATGCAAAATATTAGAGGCCTAATAGCGTAAAATTGTTTGCTGCCAAGTGACAGTACATTGCTGAAGAAAGTGAATTCTYGTGGTGTTGATGTGGTTTATTCTCRTGTTTGGGAAGAAAAAGGGCTATAAGAAGGAACTGAGGGACTTGTTCAGGAATGATGCTGCTCCAGGCCATCATGTGCTATCTCATTTGCAGGTTCTTATCCCAGTTTTTGCCCTTGGACGCGCCCAGGAACTTTGCATTTTATTGGAGACCTTCTGGTAAGTCTGCCTTCCTCTGTGAATCTTTCTCCTTTTCAGGGTCATTCTGCCCTCCTTGTTTCCACTTAGGATCAGTTGTCATTTTAAAGATTTTAATGTATCTTTGCAGTATTGTACATTTTTTTTCATGGGAGGGCAGAAAAGGAATGAAATAGTGTAAAGTATTAAACTTCTTGATAAAGAAGTGCGTGGTGCTAAGGCCAGGTTTCCAGTATGGCACTCCTATCTGCCTGGATCACTTCTTTCTACAGGGAAAGAATGAACCTGAAGGCTCCAATTTATTTTTCCACGGGACTGACAGAAAAGGCAAATCATTATTACAAACTCTTCATCACATGGACGAATCAAAAAATTCGGAAAACCTTTGTGCAGAGAAACATGTTTGAATTCAAACACATCAAAGCATTTGACCGGGCCTACGCAGATAATCCAGGACCTATGGTAGGTGCCATAAAAAGGTAGTAAAGCACTTGTGTAGTGCCTTGGGAGCTTATTTTGTACCACTCTGTTCCTGGTTTAGCTAGAGAGGCAGCCTGCAAAGTCTAAGCGTCATTTACACTATTAATACTGGCATCCCACCCCAAGACCTTTTTGGGGCCAGGCCATCTGAATGCCTCTTTCTCTGTAACTGTATTAAAGGTTTTGCTGTTTTTAATCCAATAAAGCTAAAATGCTGGGAGAAAATAAACAAAAATAGTGTTCTCATATAATTGGTACCCTTTTTGATGATACAAACTGTAATTTTGCAGCATGTGCCTRTGAAATAAAGTTAGGAGATGGATCCTTTATAGGACAATCTTTTATTGCTCATTTTGGGTTTTGATTGGTATTGGGAGGCTTTGGAAAAAAAGAAGTTTGATGCATCTTTGAACTCTAGGTTGTCTTTGCAACCCCTGGAATGCTTCATGCGGGACAGTCCCTTCAGATCTTCAGGAAATGGGCAGGGAATGAAAAAAACATGGTAAGCAATTCCGTTGYCCTACGTGATATTCTTTTGTTAACAACAGCCATCCTACATGTGTTTAGGTGCAGAGTGTGCAGGCTTTTGTGGTTTTCTTCTCAGGTCATCATGCCAGGCTACTGTGTGCAAGGAACTGTAGGCCACAAGATTCTGAGTGGCCAGCGCAAGCTGGAAATGGAAGGACGACAAATAGTGAGTTTTCTTCTCAGCAAGAAAGTTYGTTTTGGGGAGAGACTCTTTACAACTTTATGTGGTTGTTAGGTTGCTGCATACTCATAATGTGAATTGAGTTGGACTGGTTGTTTTTTCCTTTATTTTGGGAACAGCGTGTCTCTTCCTGCTCTTCATTGCTTTGTGATTTATTGGACGCATGCCATTATACTTGGGTGGTGGACTACTTACAGTGCTATTTAATAAGGGGATATTAAAACTGTTAATAAATGTTCTAAGCAGCTGTTTCAGCAACCTCAGTTTATAATTTAGTGTCTGCTGCCTTCTCTGAAAGGCATTTGGAGAGGTCTGGGTCTGCTCCTGGGCAGTTTATAAGCTGTTAGGGGGTTTAAGTGTTTCCTGATGCAGAAAACCTGTGCTTTTTGCCCCTTGCAGCTGGAGGTGAAGATGCAGGTGGAGTACATGTCCTTCAGTGCCCATGCTGATGCCAAGGGAATAATGCAGCTGATTCGCCAGGCAGAGCCACGCAATGTTCTCCTGGTCCATGGTGAAGCAAAGAAAATGGAGTTCCTGAAGCAGAAAATCGAGCAGGAATTTCGTATGTTACACTCTGTGTACTGGGCAGAGGATGGCAGCAGGAGGAAGGCTTTAGACTTTACTTTATGCCTAAGCACCTATTTATTTCCGAGTTTCTAAGAACAATTGAAGTGGTTTGGTATGTTTGTGTTGTTTTAGTCTAGCATTTACTGAATTTATATTTCCTTGGACTCCTAAAACAAGTAGAGACAGGCCAGGGGAAAAACATCTAAGTGACTTTAGTTACTAGGAATGATGTCCAAAATAAAAAGAAAAAAAAATAGAGGTCATAAATTTCTTTGTAGCAACTTGTTAGGCACATCAGGTTGCAAACATTTTTATTGCAGCCAGTGATCTTGTTCCCCCTCATGAGGAGGTTTCCCAGTTAAGCAGAGCTGAGTCAGAAGCTGCCAATGCTTTTCTGAAAGTGTCTATGCTGCCTTCTGTGTGAGGGGCCTAAAAAGAGTCAGGGCTACTTGTGGTTAGTGTTGGGGGGGTGGGTTTTAACGGTACCAGTGAGGTTGTCAGGCTTTGGCTTCTGCACAAACTCTACTCTCYGGCCTCTTTGAAATCCCAATTTTGAGTTTCAGGCGTTGTCTTTAAGTCTTTCCAACACTGACTCTTTCTGTTGCAGATGTGAGCTGTTACATGCCTGCRAATGGAGAGACAACAACAATATTCACCAATCCCAGCATTCCTGTGGACATATCCCTGGGACTCCTGAAGAGAGAAACAGCAATAGGTGAGGCACCTCCAACAGAGATTTCTGTTGAAATGGAGATTTTCATCTTTTTTACTGCTTTGCTGTCTCTTACCCATTCATTACAGGCAATTATTCTGGATTCCTGAGCATTGTTTTCATTACTTCTAGAGCACTGATTGATAGTGGTATAAGTGCTGGCTACTTTATTTTTAAGTAACARGAGAATGAAAATGTAAAATCACAGACCCTGAATGTATCATACCCCTCAGTGGAACGATGTACAACCCTTATTGCACTTGATTGAAAGCCCAATCTCTTAAATCTTAAAATAATGTTAGAGGTGTAGAAAGCAGGCACAGTACCATTAACCTGTTGTCGTCTTCTGTTCGCTTTGGTTTAGGTCTGTTACCTGATGCCAAGAAGCCAAAGCTCATGCATGGCACGTTAATTATGAAGGATAACGTAAGTAAAAAAGTTCTTACCCTTGTCTTGTTGTCCTCTTTATGAGTCTGTTGTCATTTACAGGCAAGGTGTAGGTGAAAAAAGAACCAATTAAACATATATAACCCAAATTTTTTGGAAGGAGCCATAGCAAGAGCTGATCCTGCAGGCCTATGAGATGGATTAGTCTGTAAGAATGACTCTCCAGATGGTCAGTTGCCTGCTTGAGAGACAGTCGCCCCCAATCCCACAACTTCAGAATTAGCATCTTGTTGTGTGCCCGTTTATCTGGGTATTTTCTCCAGTCTTTCCTCCTCTTCTGCCATCCTGCACACACATTCATACCTGGCTGCTGTCGTTGGCACTAGTAACTGAAAGGGCTGGACATTCCAAAGGTTGAGCAGTGCTGATCCTCCCTGCAGGAGTTTTGCAGTGATAAACACAGACCTTTGTGCAGCTATGCCACATAGGAGGCATAAAACTCCAGAAGAACAGCCAAAAAGAAGTAGCCTCCAATGCTTTGTGTTTTCCTCTGTAGAGCTTCCGGCTGGTTTCTCCAGAGCAGGCCCTGAAGGAGCTGGGCCTTGCAGAGCATCAGCTGCGTTTCACCTGCCGCGTTCACATTCAGGATCCGCGGAAGGAACACGAGACGGGGCTCCGCGTGTACAACCACCTCAAAGCGTAAGGCTGCTCTTGCATCTGCTTGGCTTTTCCTGCTGGGCTGAACTAGGCCCTTTCGTTCCAATAGAGTACAAGTACCGCTTTCCTTCCTGCCTTTATAGAACAGCTTTATCATCRGGAAAACTTGCCCCTTTGGAAAATTACAGCTCAGAAAATGCAATTGCCCAGGATTTCGATCTCTAGCTAGGGGAAGAAGAGCAGTGGTTGTGTCGCTGTAGCAGAGGCTGGACTTTGTCAAGCTTTTGCAGGCCAACTGAAACCTTTTGTGGCAGGTTGCTGCTGTCACTGTTGCTTCTAGCTGAGTTAGCAGCTGAAACTTAAAAATATTTATGTCCTAAAAGCAGCTGCTATAATCCAAGAGTTGTGCTTTACACATATGAATAGGCTGTCAGGCTGGAGCTCTAGCTGTCAGGAAGGCCCAAAATAGAACCCCACAGGAAATGTCTGACCCTCTGATGACCAGTATCTGTCTCAGAGATGCAGTTAAAAGTAGTAACGACACCTGGCTGTTGGATGGGGAKTCCTAGACTGAAAGTCGCTCACCCTTCAACTAGTGTTTATCCCCTCCAAAATAAGTTATATGCCTTCTTTTAACAGGATCTTGAAAGACTATTCAGTTCAGCATCTCCCTGATGGTTCTATAACAGTAGAGTCCATTCTTATCCAAGCTACAGCACATTCAGAGGATCAAGGAACAAAAGTCTTGCTTGTATCCTGGACATACCAGGTAAGAACACTTAAAAACTTGCTTTCTAAGCAATTCCAATTGGTCTTAACTGAGGTTTTGTGATGACCTGGAGTGTGCATCACCTTTGCGACTGATGAAAGCTCAGTCCATGACGTAGTTTGAGAAAAGCCAGAGTGAGCCCCTGCTGTTTTCTTTATTTCAGCTTTAGTACAAATCATTTTACAATCGAGTCTGTTTTCTCTCAGACCACTTAACTAGAGGCACCTGGTTTGGAGCAATTATTGAGTAGTGTAAGAAAATCTGTGTTTTGAGGACACTATAGCAACAAGCTTCTAACTCTCAGCTGCATCACTGCTGCCACACAGGGTGTAGAGTGTTTTGTAAGGTAGGTGTGAAACTTTAACAACAAGCAGAAAGCTACATAAAGCAGAACCATGCTAAAATTAGGAGTAGTAGTTCTATCTGCTTGCTTTCAAGGGAATACTTTTAATGTCTGTATTTGTTTAAATGTTTCCTTTACAAGAAGGGAAGGACAAAGCAAAAATCAATAGTTCTTAATTCCTTGCTTCCAAAGAGAAGTCTTCAGAGAAGTCCAAGAAACTTCTTTGACAGAAGGGATTTTTACATTGATACTAAGAAAGAAAACGCRGAAGTGGATTTGTGCTAACTGAACTGATTTGTCCATTGCTGATACTAAATTCCTTGGTCCAAGAATTATTTCCCTGTATTTCCAGGCTACAGAGCCTTAACTTCTTGCCGCAGCTGGAAAGTTGCATGAAATGTTGCTTTCAGCTTGTTTCTCTTTCATTTCTTTAGGATGAAGAGCTAGGCAGCTATCTCACATCCCTGCTCAAAAAAGGACTGCCTCAGAGTACAGCTTGAGCAACAGAGCAGCAGCCAGGGTGGCAGCGCCTCAGAGAGAGAGAGATTTAATTTGTTACCTTGTCATGATGGAAAACTAAGGATAGACATAGCATCTGCAGGTTGCTGGTTTCATTTTAATACAGGAATTAAAATGTTTGTCCAATACGTGCAGTGAGAGTGTACATGGGACTACTGGTCAGCAGTGCTGCAGTCGTCTTCCTTAGCGTCCTGCCCCGGAGTCACTGCAGCCTGTTTTTAAMGAGCCCTGAGGAACAAGCTTTGAGTTGCTTACACAGTAAGGTAAGAGATATTGAGCATTCTACTACTTACACAGCGCTGTTTCCTCAAAACCTTACTGTGCCTTTCTGTACTAAAAGGCCTTTTCTGGGCAACCTCCAGACTTTCTCTTTATTCATAAAAATAAGTAGTATCAACAGCCGTGTGCCAAACCCACTCCTGCCCTGAACTTGTTCCAGGGATTCTGTGCTGGGACAGAACAGCTCATTTGAAGTGTTTCAGATTTGTGAGCAGGAGTATTCAGCTCACATGTTATGCAAAACTAGTATCAGTGATAGCCTTACAGGGAATACAAAGTCTGGARTAGGCCCATGGGGTCAAAAGAAGAAGCTTTAAAAGCTACTCCAACCTTTTCAGAATTAAAAGACAAAATATAAGTTTAATGGAGGCAGCGGTACAAGGCTTTCGGTACAAACATTCTCTAAGGTCTTACCAAGCCCAGCCAAGCAAAGCAACACAAACATCACTATAAACAGTACTTTAAGAGGTTATGCAGCTTTTCTCACAGACATTTAAAGAATAATTGCTAAGAAATTTAATACCACATACAAAAGCCACTATTACAAAGCTGCAGTTATGTTATAGTAATTTCAGACCTACTCTTGCTTTGTTTGCTGCACGCATAATCATACTCCCTATCTCCTTAAGGTAAGTGTCATTTCTTGTTCCAGGTCCAGCAGCACAACATGTACTGTGTATAACATAAAACATAAAGACTAGTTTGTGCCGTAGAGGGCAAGGTCACAGTGGGGCTTCTGGTCTGCTTTGCACATTGAATTGCAATATCGATTTAGCGCTGCCACCATTAGACACATTGTTCCTCTTTACCAAGCCCCACGAGGGTTTCCTTTCTGTTTTCATCCTCTCGGCTCTCTCATATGCCAGGAAGCAATCACATATATGTGTATTTTATATATCTGTGCGTGACATGGGACAGGTCAGAGCAGTGAGTTACCAAAACCAYGTCTCTAAATAACCATTGGCTTTTAAGCAGGTTCTTCAGCTAGGTTGGTGGCTTTCTGCTTGCTCTGATAACCCATAAATGATCATTTTTTTCCGTGATGAAACAGTCTTCGGTTCAGMAGGTGGAAAACCCAGCCGTTCTCAGAAGTTAGGTGTTCTGTTAATACAAACAAGGGATGAAATAAGTTAGACATTCTTAGTGATATAACACAATCTCAGGAAAAAGGGGTCTGACAGATGAACTGGACTACACCATGTTCAGGCAGTTCCCAGCAAACTTTCCTCAGTGAGAGACTTYCTCACAGGTCTTGCAGGATGCCAAGTTGAGGGGGAGCAGCTTTTATATGGATATGGGACTAACTGACTGAGAGACACGTGGATCTATTAATTACCTTTTAAAACTTAGCAGTTATTAACTGCTGAGCCTGAATCTAGAGGCATGTGATGCTAGAAAGCCTGAACTCAAATACTCCCCATGAAGCCAATCAATTGATTCAGAAGAGATGAGAAGCCCTTATTTGGCTGTGAAATATAGTCAGAAAGCAGCTTGAGACCCCAGCTGAATAGTTGGTCTCCAGGGAGAAAACACACGATCCTTCCAAAAAAGGGAAAAACCASGCAGGAGTGCCCTGATCGACTCAACTTCCAGCATTACAGTCAATTAGGAGACTGGTTTCTTTCAGGTAAACCTGGTTCCAGAAGGGAACCTTGGTTCACCTCCCAAACTCAGAAGAAAACAAAAGGAGAACGGAGCATAATGGTACGTGCACACGAGATGGTGTTAGCAGGTACTACCTAGGAGAACAGACAAGTGCAGCTGCCCCCAAGCACAGTCCTAGTTGGCTAGTAATGATAACACATACGTTAAGCATTTTCTTATACTGATTACATCAAGGGAATGCTCTGAGTGCTGCATTTCCAAGGCTTGATTTCAAAGCAATATTTGGAATGATGAATGTTGTACTTACTTGAAGTATGTCAGTTGATTCCATTTCCGTGCTTCATATTTCCCTGCCTCTGTTCTAGCTTGTAAATGTAAGAGCAGTTTCCGAACTTCTGATCACAGATCGTGTAGACCATTTTAGACCTGAATCTGAGCTTGAAGTTGAAGTGCCAGTGTTTGGTGGAAGAACTGAAGTAGTATAAGAGTGGATTGAAGCAGCAGTTCAAACTGACTAGAGCTAAGGTGATCCTTCGCATTTTGTAGATCAGGTTGGTAAACAGCTTGTTCTGGATGACCTGGATTCTCATTAAAAAGTGGAGCAAGTGAGTGAGATGATAGGGGAGAAAGCAGAAGGTGCAAATGAACAAGATGATGTAGATCGTGCACAGGGCTTTTCTCTTGCGGATGCTGTGTTTGATCTGGGAGATCCTCTTGGCAATGAGAGGGTAGCTGATCAGGATGATGGAAAATGGGATCACAAAGCCAAAAACTAAGGCCAGGATGTTGTAAGATGCCATGCGGTAAGTCCAGCTAAAGGTAGTGAAATTCTCAAAACAGGCTATTTTGTTCTCCATGCCATTGTTGTGAAGGGGACCTCCAAGGATGAGTGAAACCATGACACTTAGAGCTACCATCCACAGCACTGCGACCACTATCACATAGTGAGAGACTTTGATCTGGATGTAAGTGAAGGGGTGCAGCGCTGCAATGTAACGATCGACACAAATGCAGGTGAAGAAGGCAATGCTCAGGTAGATGTTCATATAGTACAAAGTCCCRGTTACCCTGCAGGCCATGTCCCCAAAGATCCAGTTGTTCTGATGCAGGTGGTAATGAATTTTGAAAGGCAACACACAAACAAACAAGGTGTCTACGAGGGCCAGGTTAATCATGTATACGTAGGAATGGGAGATGTGCTTGACTTTGCAGGACAGCAGGTACAGGGCTAAGAGGTTTTCTATGAGGCCCAGCACAAAGACAATGCTGTAGATGACAGTGAAGAGGTGATACTGGAAGTCTGCTTCCATGCTGTACGCTGCACTGACATTGGCAGCTGTCGCATTGGAGATTCCTTCAGTCCAGGAAATACCTGCCATGATTTCTCTTGAAGAACTGCAGGGGTATCCAGCATGGGAGAGAAGGCTTAAGATGCCTCTTACCTCCTAAGGTCCTTGAGTTTGGGGTTTTAGTTCATCTCTCAGTGGTCAACAGCTAAAGCGATAGAAACCTCTGATGTTAGGTGTGATGGAATCTGTGCTTCAGACTTCTGTGCTTCGTAAAGGTAGATGGAGAGCAGGGGGGTTGAAAGCAAGAATGAATCACTGAAAACATGAACATTTGAAGTTTCCACAGCAGCAGGCAGATTTACTGGCATTTAACAGAAGCACAAGGTGACAATATTAATAGAAGTAGCAAAAATAAAGGGCATGGAAACACTTGTCTTTTGCCAAAGATGTATGTAGAATGTTAAAGAGTTGTGGCTAAGGACAGGCCAGCAGTTGAATTTGGCACTTTGAGCTTATTTTGAATTTGGCAATTTGGGCATTCATTTGCAGGGGTGTATGTGATACAGGAGTACTTAGAATGGCCATCCTAAAACCTGACAGCTAATGAGCAGAAATAGGACAGATGAAGTTTTTCCATCCTTCCCCTCTACCCTCTTATATCTCACCTGAAGCAGTGACATTTTGGGGCAAGCTGTTGTGTGAAGTTACAGCATCCTGAAACTACTTTACCCTCACCTCAGGGCCAGGTGGGTTGCAGAGGGGAACGTCACTTAGGTCACCCATATCTCACAAGCAACAGATCGCACTCCAGCCCCCTCCTTCCCTTTATCAACTACAAAAGACATCTAAACTATCAATCTGAATGTAAACATCTAAATAGAAGCCCTGCATAGAGTGGAAAATATAATCCCAYGCACAGTATGTAGAGAGCTCCTGGAGCTGAGCTGTTGAAAGCAGAATGAAGCTTGTCTACAGGTACTTTCCGAAGGAAACGCTGAACTCGCACTTCCTCCTCACTCTCACGGTTGTTTATCTAACTAGTTAAAAGAACCTGAGATTACAGATGGAGGGTTAAATGGAGCAAGTGGTTTGCCAAATTCCAAACGGCCAAATTTGCACTGCASGACCCCAGAACATGCCCTGATCCATTTTAAAATATTTTGTTCTTAATTTCACTTTGACATTATGGAAATGACACAGTTTAGGATTAAGCATGACTTTTCTGAGCATATGTTCCATTTCACCACTGTAATAACACMGCATTCACTTAGCTACTACTCTAAAAACAAAGAGTCCTACCACGTTCCAGACCTGGTGTCTTCTCCAGGGCTGACTTCTGTGTATTTTTCCTGCCCATTTTACTTGCATTTCTGTCAGACAAATCAAAAAGCACCAGCAACCCTCTGCTCCTAAATGAGGTTACTTAATTTACAAAAATTCAGAAAGTAACATATCTTTTAAASTTTCCACTGGAATTTGTGTTCATTTAATTAGTATAAATGTTTTTATTATMAAACCAATTTTTGTCTTGGAATTCTGGGTCACACATGGTATTTTTCTTGGTTTGGTTTACAGTGGAGCTTTAAAATCGCAGTCAGAAAGACAGAAGTATCAGAAGTCCAAACGGCATCAGCTTAAAATACCACTAATTCAACAATGTAAGGGTAAAAAAATGTTAAGTACCCCTTGATGACAGGTAACATTCAAGCATTAACTACAGCCAATGAAAAAATAATGCRGAGCAGGGGTTTGTGCAGAAGTTCTCCACTGGCACTATGTTTAAGTACTCTCTTATCTTAATATTATAATGCAGCTGCTGGATTATTTTTAACCTCTGCTCTGGTATTTAAAATGAACAAGCCAACCAACGGTACTTAGTGCTGACTGCAGAGTTCCCCACACTGCTGTCTGGATAGCTGTGTCTGGGTTCTCATTTATTGCATTTGAGAATAAGCCTATAAGCATAAGAGGTTTTGGGGGTTAACAGATATCAGGAAATACTTTCAAAAAAAAAAAAAAAAAAAAAGCAAATACTTCTCTGTGAAATGAAAAAAGCTCTGCTATCTAGGCCTGCACTAGGAGGTCTGAGTAGTACTGGTCACTATTTGGTTCAGCTTTTTGTGTTGTAAAGGCTCATAATAAGTTTATTTAGACAGAAAGTTAACTTACCGCATCTCAGGTCATCTCCTCTCTTGTGAAAGCTGCCTTGAGTGCACTGGTCTCAGAGGCTTCACAGACACRAGTTACGCTGCTCAGAAACTGCCTTGCAAGACACACTGCCACCCGCCTCACAGCGAGAAACCACAGGAAGTGAAGATGAAAAGGCAGCGCTGGGATTCTCAACACAGCAGTTGCCCTGCTCTCCCTCCGGGGGACCTGCGGGACAGCACAGCACCCAGCCTGCCCTAGTGCTCCCAATGCACCCACTGGGACCAGGTGGCACAGAGAGGACCCTCGCACCTCCCCTGAGAGGCAGGCCAGAAGGGGCTTGCTCCCCTTCTTGCCATTCCCCTGCACACCAAYGGGCATGGCAGCTTTCAGAGCTGGATGGAGAAGCCTCTTGCTCATGGAAACAGACACTACCAGGTTCCACCTGTGCAATACAGCAGCCTCAGCTGCTCTTCTCTGGGGCAGAGGCTTGGGACTCCTCCARTGTTCTGTCATCGTCTTGGGAATTTGGCCCTGAAGAAGTAACGCTGGTAGGAGTCAGCCTGCTCTACAGCAAGGGAGTGAGCAGAAGTGTCCTCTACTTCGCAGGCTGTCAAGCTTTTGACAAGGCTACGTGTAACAGGGTGGGGAGGAAATCATCTCCTCGCCCRATGATACCTAGGAAGAGACTGTCCTGTATCAGAAGAAACCCCTAACTCGGTCCCCACAGCCTAAGGGTGCCTTAGAGATGCTTATTTTGTCACTTGGGCAAGTAGGCAAAACTTGAGATGAAAAACTTTTTTAAGAAGTTCCCTCTGCCCTTGCTRCGTGCTGCGATTCACGGCCACTGGGACCCTACCTGGACTCCATCCTCTATTTGATGGGCTCCGCGGCGCTACTGCACACCAAAGCCAGACAGCAAAACGAGGGCAGCGAGAGGCGCCCTGTGCCCCGCTGCGCTTGGTGTCCTCATCAGCTCCCCGATTCAGCTGTTCCTGGGTTGTTAGTGCATGCTAGGCTTATTGACCTTGGGAAGAGAGCCCCGCTCCTGTAAGAGATTAAATAGGGCTTAAGGGAAAAGAAAGCAACTTCGCAGCAATCCACATCCWAACAGCAACAGGCGACTTATTTCTCAGGGACAAAATAATGTCTGAGCTGCTGCAGTTTGGGGAGAGAGYGGCTGTTGAGGAGAGGAAATGGTAAGTGCTTTTAAAGCTGCTTCTGTAAGTGACCACGTTCACTAGTAACTGCTGTCCTTTCTGCTGTGCTGCACGCAGCAGAGGGTGCTGCATTTGCTCTCATTCTAATTCAGTATCTACCCACTCGGCAAATGAAACAAAGCAAAAAACCCCAAAGTCGACTCCTTTCTCTTCCTGTTTGAGAGCGATGGTCCTGCACCAGAATATATATAGAAAAGAAAATACAACGCAGACATCTGAAAGCAGCATCAGGTTGGTCTTTGTTTCCTCTGGCAGTCTTGGAGGGCCAGAACAATGGAGGGGAAGATGCCTTCATTTTCAGTGAACGATGTTTATTGAGACAAGACCAAATGCTGTGCCCAGAGTGCTCTGCAAGCGCCCCTTACGCATCCACAACGGTCCTTTCAGGCCAGGCTACATCTCACAGAGCTGTCTCCAAGTCTGGAGGAGAGAAGGGAGAACATTGATTTAGGGAATAGGCCTTGGAGTTGGTGCTCTTCGTTCCCTGCGAGCACGGACAACTGGGCAGCTCTGCCAGCGTCACCGAGAGCAGCAGCGAGACGGGGTCACCCCAGCAAGCAGCAGCTGCCCCCGCGCAGCCTGCCGAGTGCTCCGCAGCACAGCGGCCTGAATGCAGGAACTTTGGGGTGCCCTTGCGCCCAGCCTGAGCCCCAGGGCGTGAGCTGCAGGAGGGAGCTCCAAGCCCATTCCTGGGTCTGTGCCCTGCCTGAGGAGGAGCAGCCTGGAAGAGAGGAATAAGCAGCACGAAGGCCCTCGCACCCGCATTTCATGGACACTGCATTAGTCAGAGGCTAGAGGAGAAAAAGGGTGTTTGGCTGCAGACAAAGCAGGCAGGAATGGGACTATTCAAACCTGCTGACAGAAGGGACTGTGTTTCTGTTGCTGAAGGAGATGGTAGTGCCAACAGAGCCAGAAAGTAATTCCATCTCTCTCTCTCTCTTGCAGAATGTCGCTAGCCATAGCAATAACCTCACTTGCTTTTGACATTTATTTTCTTTAAGGAGACACACAGACACTGTGTTTAATCTACAAGGCAGCAAAAGATGTTACTGCTCTGTCAGTGTTCAACCTGACTTTCATAGAATTTACCCTCTGCAATCCCCTGCCTTCACCTACCTGCTTCGTTATAAGCTACCGATTTCAGGAAGAGTCCAGATGGTGGAGCCATAGCATGAGGTGGAAAAGCCCGTGAATCTTTTCTTTCCAGTAACTCCTTTATATGAAGAGGCGATAACTTCCCCTGGCCGACGGCCACTAGAGCCCCGGCCATTCTTCGGACCTGGAAGGACAGAGAGCAGAGCGTASGGGCTGCCTTCGTACAACCTAACGGATGGAGAAATTCTGTCCACAGTGCTGCACTTTACATCAGCAGGAGCTTTTTGCAACGTGAAGAAGCTTTGGCCCTTGCCTGAGATACCACTGATCTCAGTGACACAGACTTACTGTGGGTCACAGACTTAAGAGATTCTGGGTTAAAGAGGGAATAAGGACCCCAACCTCTCTGATYCCGGATCCCTGGGAGGTGTCCTAGTGCTACAACAGCAGCTCTGCAACAGACTGTGACACAGGGAGCAGCCCTGCTTAACTGARCAGCATGTAGGTGCTTTGGTGCTGGAAAGCAAAGCACGTGCTGAATGCAACGCTAGACACTACCTGTCGGTAAAGAAACGATCTGCTCCTGAACTCCAGCTCCCAAAACTCCAGTCCCCTGAAGAAAGAAACAAAGGGAGGGTTTTAAAAAAATCACATCTCGGATGGCTCTTCCACCTACAAGAGAAGTATAAATAACAGGTGAGCTGCAAAGGAGTAGAATGAGTAAGAAGTTGCAGTCTTTGGTGTTTGATTTAAAATGCTCTCAGAAATCTTTGCAATTCACTGGGGACGGGTATCTATTTGGTGTTGTAGTGGCAGATTTTGCAAAAGCATTTCCAAGCACTAYGAGTGCAACTGTCCCCACAGGGAATGATTCAGAGACTGACTACAACAGGATGTGATGAAACRCAACAAACCTCGGCCCTCCACACACACACAAAGCCCAGAACTTTAGACCAGAGAATTCATGTTTTTGGTTAAGGTTTTAATAACARCCTCAAAGGATTCTAAGGGAATTATGGGATGGATTATACCTCAATGCCATTTAAATGCACTGCAGTCAGGCTTCTTTAAGCTGCCCCCTGCAACCTAAGAATTCATTAAATCAGCTCATTCAGTATCTGCACATCATACAGATGAGTCCTGTTACAAAAACASAAGTTTGGCAGTATGTGTCACGAGGCCTCTGCAAAAATAGTCTGCCAGCAACGAGCTGGATGTTTCTGATCCAGTTTTTAGGTCTTCTCTCCATGGATTATCATCCATGTTCAGATGAGAAATATTCATCATCTTTCTGGAAAAAAAGGAGCATAGTTTCTGCTAAGAGTGTGAACATATCCAGCCYCTTAATTTCAAAACAAGATCTTCTGGATGAACCTGATACTGAATGATACTTTGCTTATATAATAATTGAGGAATATTGGACTTCAGCAGCATCCCCAGGGATGGCAGAAGGATTTGCTGGTGTGAACTGAATGGATCTGGACATCAGAGTCATGCAGGTTCTTTTCTCCTGCTTACAGCCTTTAGGAAAAGCTAGGCCAGTAGCAAGAACAAACTCAGCTCACCTGTACTCATAGTGGTGGGACAGGAGACCACCTGAGGGGCGGATGTCTGCCTGGAGGATGGTTCTTACGGGAGACTTGAGGGGTGTGTCGGAGCTGAGCGAGCGGAAGGTGCTGAAGTCGTGGGTCCCCAGCARGAACCCTGCTGCGTCCTGCATGGCTGGCACGTCCAGGGGGCTGAAAYGGGCACAGAGCATGGGCGAAACTGTGAGCTGGACCCAAGCACRTCATGTGCCTTGAAGTTCACGCAAATGAGGAGATGCTTAAACCCAGCGCACAGATTTGACATGTAGGAAGCCTCTGTATTTTGCAAGATGGCATCAAACACCATGATGGTTTCCCAAACTTAGATTTGTAACACCCAGCAGATTATATTTGGTACTATAGGAAATGAAACCAGCGAGCACTGTGAGAGCTGAACCCAGTGCAAAGCCAAGGTGATGGGGCAGAAGAAAGGGAAAAACTCAGGAGGCCATTTAGAAGTCCTCAGGTCTCAGTGAGCACAACTCAGTGCAATTCCTCTGATTTCAACACAGAAATCTGCTCAGTGTACTCTGGAAATTGAGTCTCACACGTGGAAATCAGCCTTTCCCCGTTCCCCTCAAAGCCAAGCCTTCCCAGAGCACTCGGGAGGCATTTCCCCTGGGATTTTTAAAGGAGTACTTGCCCTCCCGCAGGAGCCCAGCAGAGATCCCTTTCGAACACTGGGATTTCAGAGTGGTGGGAGCAGCCCAGCAGCAGCCGGTACACGTATGTCCTGGAGCGCGCGCAGAAGCGTGCGTGGAAGCTCTCGGCCACCCGGCAGGCGCTCAGGATGCTGTCGGGAGAGAAGGGAGCACGTGAGGAGGAGAGAAACCCCGTGCACCAACTCAGAGCTTTCACGCCGTTACTRTTTGCACGGGAACTGAAACACGCAAGAGGATCTTTGAGGAACTGCAYGTGCAGTTTGGTATCCTGCAGTCAGCGATCAGTGATTACAAGTGTGGGCTACCAGCGGGTCTTTGACGAGGAGATGGAAGAGGAGGCACCAACAAAACCCTGAAAATGCCTAAGTTTAAGGAGTCACCATCGAGAAGGAYGTGCCGCCCTGTCCACTGAGCTCTCACCTCCAGGAGGCGCCAGGAGCCCCAGCTCTGTCTCGCTGTCACCCAGGCAGCTTTTACCACCTACYGCCAGGGCTGAAAACAGCAACGGGAAGTGATCCTTCTACAACTACCATCCCTCCTCTGAGGACACCAAGGCTCTTCTGAGGCTGCCCCATCTACAGGATGCACACTGATCTTTGTGGACATGATGCTCTACAAATCTAAAATCAGATGAGATGATAGAAGAGACTCATCATGCACTAAAGCAACAAAGGTTTTTTGTTGCTGATGATACAGTCAGCCAGTTTGGAATCTTGTTTCCCTTCCAAGCTCTATTGACAGTAACGCGCTCTCACAAAGACCTCTCTCCCCATCACCCTGCTCACAACCACATGAAAGTGCTGAGTTTTCTGTTCAGCATTAACAGAGAATTATTCTCAGCAAAGTAACATTTACAGAGGGAGGGGATTGTTGCTGAGTATGCTTAGACTCGTGCCCATCACCAAGCTCCTTAATGGAAAGCAGCTGGACCRTTTTTTAAAAATCACAGCCCAAAGAAGGAGGCAGAAGCAGAGCTTGAACTCTCTAACCAACGGGGACTGTCAAAAGACATCCCCTCCTGATGTGTCACACTTYGATGTAACTGAAAAGCTGTCCCTGTCCTTGAGATCCCACTGCTTCCCCTTCGGGACATGCTCTCTGATAGAAATTTCTCTTTGACTGCTTCAACATTTTCTTCATTGGGGTAGGATGTTGGARATCTTCTGCCCAACACTCCAAGTCTCTACCTTGAGGAGTCTGCAATCTATGCAAGTGAAACCAAATAAGAGAAGAAAGAGCAGAGAGGAGCAAAACAACTRCTGGCAAATGGTATACTGATTCTAGGACATCAACACAGATTTGGCTTTTAGTCTAAAAACTTCTGTGTTTCATTCAATTTACACTTTAACCATGARAAAAATGCATCTACTTCTGGGGAAGAGCACAGCAGCCATTTGACAGCTGGCAGAGAAACTGCCCAACAGTCTGGAAGGAAAAGCACCAAACACCAAGTTCAATCCAGCCCTTGGAAAGGCACAACGTTCACAGAGCATAGAAATTGCTTGTGGAATTGATGCAACTACTTGACAAAAGCTATTGGTTGTACTTTTTTTTTTTCCGGCAGTGATACCTTTGAGGGTGAGCACTCAGTTTCACACAGGACAAGCCAATTCTGAGATGCTGTCAGCAAGAGAGAACTGAGAGAAAGAAGAAAAGGGAATGCAGGAATGGCAGCTGTTGTGTTCCCTGCAGGCGGTTACACCAAGCTGCTCAACACACCGGCACGCAGCTCTCCAGGTATTAATAGCTGGTTATGAGAAGGACTGTTTATCTGCCCCACATTTTTGTTACAAAGATATTAAAATGGAGACTTTGATTTAACTTCTCTAAAGCAGGTCAAGTGGTAAGTCTAGCAGAGGAGGGGAGAGGCTGATCTCACAGGAAGGGAGGAGCAGGCGGCTCAGACCAAGTGTGATCTCATRCATTTGTTCTTCACCCCTTTGCCTAGATACAGGGAAGGGGCAGTGTGTGCTAATTCAGTAAGTAAAGGAAAAAAAATTGGGCGGGAGTTTTGGGATAAAGCAGCACTGGAAGGTAACGTGTTGCTGTTCCAGCTCACATGTRGCTTCAGCATCAGCCAGAAGGACCAGTACTCCAATGGTCTTAAATTCTCTTACAGGACTTTTTGTTTTAGCAGTGCCAGCACAGGTCCCCTAACAAAAACAGAGGTGCACAGCTGTGCTCCGTAGATGCTGAGGGTCTGGTAGGAGCAGAAAGCCTCTTACCAACCTATCTTGTGAATGCAAATAGGACATGACTGCTGCAGTGATGTCCTCCCAACAAGAACAAATGCAAGACGTGGACTTAGCGCCCAACTCACCGGATGGGCTCAGGCTTCAGGTAGTGATTGAGACTGCAGACGAGCTCTCTCTCGTGGAACGGCGGCTTTCCCGGGGCCCTCTGGATGTCAAGGTGGGCGGAGTTGCAGAGTGCGTGGACACCCGCGTCCGTTCGGCTCGAGATGTGGAACTTGATGGGAATGACGGACTTCAGGTTTTGTGCTGCCTTCTGTAGGACAGTGTGAGAAAAGATCGTGAGAAGGGGACTCGCCAGGAGCTCCCTAGGACTTGATGCCCTCCTCCTTGCCAGTCACGYGGCTCCTTAGTGTTCATATGGAGAAGGAATCGCTACTGTGGGCTGTGGAGCAGTAGAGAGGAACCTGTGTGCAGGATTTCTCCTATTCCATTGGCTTCTCATCCTTTGTCCCAGAATTATCCTAAAGAGAACATCCTAATGTAAAACACAGCAAAATGGCAGGCGGCAGCGCTGCCATAAACTGTTAAAGAGCAGAGGGGGAGCCGGGGGACTGGCTGCAGCACTGATGTGATGAGTTTCATCAGCGCCGTGGAGAAATAGAACAGATCTGAGAATCGTGACACTGCCCTCCTGAAAGACACCAGTAGCCAGAGCTGACATGGAGCCATCCTGGGAGGTATAAACCACCACAGGAAGAGAAAGCTAAAAAAGGTTTTTTTTTTTTTTTTTTTTTTTTTTTTTTTTTTTTGAAGAAATGCCATGGGAAGTACTGTCCAAAGCAAACATGGATTGCAGGTGACTGTCACCTTAGTCCATTTTCCTTTCTTTCCTCCTGCTTCCTTGGGGAGACAGCTCTGCCCAGTGCTGCCCTGCACTGCACTGGTCTGTGTTCTGCTCCTCTTTCTCTCCTCCCCTGCTCTCCATTTTTCTTTCATGGGGAATAATATCTGGASTTAGCACAAAGCTGCTGGCCCGAGCGGAACTTTGTGAGGGGAGGATTAGTTTTGGGCAGCGTTCTCCAGTACAATAGAAAACAGCCCACTCGGGAGAGGATTCAAAACAAGCATGAAAGGGAGCTTAATTCTGCAAACCCGAGTGGTCTGCGCATATGGGACCAGTTAGCACGAGCAGCAGCCACTTGCTTGGGTAAAAGGTGCTGCATGGGAGAGTCTCCCTTTACAGCAAAGGCATTTAGAGAACGTGAGACTTGATCATCTCACCCGGCGTGTTGTGAATTCCCACAGTGAACTGGATGGAGCCAAGTCCTGGGACACAAACTTCACCATCTGAGGAAGCAAAGTCTGGAATTTTGGGTTGAAACCCTCATTATAAGCTGCAGTTCCAAGTGTTTCAAGACAAGTACGTACTCCTCCAAGAAAGAAAATAAATTTCATCTGCCAAGCTCATCCCTCTCAAGAAACCATATTAAAAGCTCCCTCAAACATACAGATTTCATCAACATGTTGATCAAAATCGACAACTTTTCACTACCCAGGACTCTGTCACGCAGCACTCGGGACAAAGCCATCCCTGTCCTACGTGTTATGTACATTTAAGCAACAAGAGCCCTCCTGCTCAGCACTGCACCTCATCCCATAGCAGTTCTCCCAAACCGGCCCATTACATGGCTGGTGACACCAGTCACTGAAATACAAGGTCTGCCCCTCACAGTTCATTTGCTCGCCTGTAACTGCAGCCAAATGCCAGAGTGGAATCAGGAGCTCATTACGGATATAATCCTGCCCTTCCTTTCAGCTGCCTTCCTGGCTTTGGAAGCAAGCGTTCTGAAGTTCAAGGCCGCACAGAAAAATGAAGGAAGGAAGATAAATTCCTATGGCTCCAGAAGTTTTCTATTAAAATCACTTTAAGACATCCCACGTGGTTCTCATAGACAGAGTCCTGCACAGCAGTGCCCAGCATCAATCCCACCACATGAAAGCGAAGCACATAGCCCATAATTGGCCAGCACGCAGCTGGGAGGATCAAAATGCTGATACTGTGAAAAGACAACACCAAATACGTTTTATCTTCTTCTGTTTTTCCCTTCGTCTTTTCCATTTCAATCCCCTCCTACCTATTCACTTGTTAAACCAAAGTTACTTGGACGATGCACAACAACTGCTGGTCTCACTCAAAGTCTGGCATCTGGGGCCGAGACATGGGAAGGTTTAGAGGATTAGATAAATAAGAGGGAAAATCCTGTGGGGCTCCTCTTTCAAGAGCTGCACAACATTTCCAGCCTTCTCTGCAAGGYCCCCGGCAGGAGCAATACGGATACATGCCGGGAGCGCCTGTCCGCAGCGGAATTCCTAACACTTCTCTTCCACCATTTCTTAGCAAGGGGCACGTTGTCTTCAAACTGCTGCTGTTATCTCGGGTTAGAGTCTCTGCTAATGAGAAATGTAATTAGAAGGGTGGTTATTTAGTATACAGCAATGGTCTGAGTTGCCCCAAACATGACCYGGGCACCAGCGTGGCAAAGATTAGTTAAAAACAAAAGTCTCTAATGTCAGGTCCTCACTGAAATCACCGACCAAACGGTCCTTTCTACTTCTTTGTTTTTCCTTTGGAACAGGGGATCCTGCCCTATGTTTTCTTGTGCCTGAGAGGCACCYGCTGCTGGGATTAGGCAGTGTCCTGTTCCTATATCTAGACAGGATTTAGGCACCAGCAAGGAGCAGAGCAGTTCAGGATGGAGGCAGCTGTAGGAACACGAGGAAGCAACACTCAGGAATAAAAGGGATGTTTGCACAGTGTGAAATATTGCAATATTCAAAACAATGTCAGAAAACATAGCGCTGACAATTACTGTGGTTCAACAATGTGATCTTAGCAATTTCACTGTGATGACAAAATAACCATCCASGACCTACCTCCATATAATCCTGGACTCCCAACAGTGCCTGGTTGCTTGACGTCCCCATGACCCCACTGCAAAGAGAAGCAAATACGGGAGTGACCGACGAGCGTCAGGAACGTGTGTGTCCTGCCCAAGRGCTGGACACAGCGTCCACCAAACCCGTCCCGAATTTAACAGTGAACAGCCCTTATCGAACCACTTGCTGCCGAGTGCTGCCGATCTTTATGCACAAGCTGCAGGGACCAAACAGTCCGRAAGGAAAAGAAACACCTGCAAGCAGGGAGCCTGGGAATCTAAACCACCTTCCCGGTGCTGCTTCCCATCTTCAGGTGGAGGCTGGGGCAGCCAGATTGCGCTAGGGAAGGGCAATATAGGGAAGGGCTCGCAGGCTGAGCTGGGCAGGACGTCAGCTGTGGGGCTCCGATTTTGTGTGAGCATGCACGCGCGGGACGAGCCGCCGCTGGATCACCGCAGAACACACGTTTGCCACCTTCTCCGTGCTGCAGGGCTTCCTTTGTGCCCATGCCCTGCCTTTCTCACCCCGAACACCCTCTCATGCTTCTAGGCGGCACCAGCAAGCGCCCTGTCTGCGGCTTCACTCCCAGCACGCAGGGCTGGTGACAGAGCAGACGCACCTACCTATATTTACTGCCAAAGTATTGAAAGAAAACTAAGTATCGGGTTTTTGGAGAAACCATGTCGCTGCCAAGGCCGCGCGGGGCCCAGCGGGAGCCCAGCAGCGTTCCGGCCTTGCCGGGGGCGGCTGCGGCCTCTCCGCGGGGCGGAGCAGCCTCGCTTCTTCCTGCGCGCCCGCCCGCGCCGCTTTTTGCCGTCTCCGCGGTTTAGCGCGCCCACCCGCGCCACTTTTTGCCTTCTCCGCGGTTTAGTGCGCCCGCCCGCGCCGCTTTCTGCCGTCTCCGCGGTTTAGCCCGCCCGCGCCACTTTTTGCCTTCTCCGCGGTTTAGCCCGCCCGCGCTACTTTTTGCCGTCTCCGCGGTTTAGCCCGCCCGCGCCGCTTTCTGCCATCTCCGCGGTTTAGCCCGCCCGCGCTACTTTTTGCCGTCTCCGCGGTTTAGCGCGCCCGCCCGCACCGTTTTCCACCGTGGGGCGCTACCCCTCCAGCAGCCCAAGAGGCGTCCAGGCCGTTTTGAAGGTTAATAACAGCAGCAGGAGCAAAATAAAAGCTAAAATGGTGATACTAAGCAAGGACTGCGAATGGCCTYCATGCCTATGTTTTGTATTTTTTAGAATCTTTATTCATGTTTCTAAAATACCAGGCTAAAATATCAGCTTGGACAATAGCAACCCCAAGAGCAACGTAGCAGGAATCCGCAGTYCTCTCGTACAAATCCAGGATCTGCTTCTGAATGGAAAAATCCAGCCAGCTTCTGGCACGCACAATAGCTCTGGACGCCACCATAATGCAGCTAATGAGGCTCGGCCGCGGAGAGGACGCAATTCCCAATCCCGCTGTGTGCACGTGTGGGGGCAAAGCCGTGCTCATCTGCATCGGAAGGACTAAAGGGAAGGGGGGGGAAATTGATTTGGAAATCAATAAATTGCATAAAATTGCATGCATTTCTGAGACGTGCTGCTGGCCACGGGGCTTAGCCAAGCTGCTTTCCCCTTCCTGTTTTCTCTGGAGTGCTGCAGCATCAGATGATAAATAATAAATGAGGTTTTCGTTCCCAGAAAGGGTTTCCGGGCTGCAGCTGGCAAATCTACCAGCTTTTAGCCAGAAATGGGATCCTGGAGCCACAGGGAGCCCCAAACATCCTATTCCTGCCATCACCGAGCCATCAACATGACATCTGCCTATGGATGCACATGTCCCAGACCCTAGTGCTCATTTGAACACTGGTTTCCACTAAGGCCCATGTTGCACAGGATGTATTTTATTAAAAAAAATTATGTTTAAAGCCCTTCTATCAATCCAAAATCACACAGAAGAGATGTCGCAGTCAATAATCCTTGTTTGTCCATGCTCTTCATGGAGGATCAAAACACAACCCAGCGAGCTTCACTACATCTCCAGGCCCTGCAAAAAAAAAATGAAAATAAATAAAAAGGCCAGTGAGGCAAGCGGAGGGAGCTGCACTGCCAGAGCTGCTGCTGCCCAAGACCCAAGAGCCGCTGGCCCTTCCCTTCCCTTCCCTTCCCTTCCCTTCCCTTCCCTTCCCTTCCCTTCCCTTCCCTTCCCTTCCCTTCTTCCCGCGCGGCGGCCGTTACGCGCGAGGCGGCGGCCGTTACGAGGGCGCCGAGCGGCCGTTGCGCCGTGAGGCGGCGGCCGTTACGCGCAGGGCGGGCGGCGGTTGCGCCGTGGGGCGGCGAGGGGCGGGCGCTCGCAGCGCGGCCGCGCGTTCGCCTCGCTGCCGCGGGGCCATGAGCTTGGCGCGCTGAGCGGGCAGAGCCGCGACGATGACGGTGGATTTCGAGGAGTGCATCAAGGACTCGCCCCGGTTCCGGTAAGCGCCGCCGCTCGCCGGCTCCCCACACGCCGCGCGGGGGGCGCCCCGCGGACCCGCCGCCTCTCCCCGGGGCGGGGGGGGGTCCGGGCTGCTCCCGGTACCGGCTCCCCCAGCCCAGCGCCGCCGCTGCCGCCCCCCCTTCCCCGGGCATCCCGCCCTGCTGCCCCCGGCTCTTTCAAAAACGCGAAATTGCCAAATTGGCCCCCAGGAGCCTCCCGCGGTCACGTCCCCGGCCCCGCAAGCCGCCTCGCCCCGCGGGGATCAGCGTTTGCGCCACCCGATGAGCCGCTGCTAAGAAATATTATTATTTTCCATGCCGTCACATCGCCGTCTCTTGGAGGGGTTTGTGGGTTTTGTTTTTTTCATTCTTTGCCTTGAAGGAATCCAGGCTCTGCAAACAAAGACGCTGTCCTGGCCGTGCTGCGCTTCAGTCTGCCCATTTCATAGCATTTAATTCTGGTCTTTTCACAAACGCCCAGGGCAGGAGAGGAGGCTCCGCAGCCCGGGCGCTCCCGGCGTGTCCCGGTGTCACCGTCGGAGCCTCCATAGCCGAGAGGCTCCAGGTGCTCTCGATGGGGACGGACAATGGGCAGCAGAGGCGCGTTGGGCGCTCGCGTGTGCAGCCCAAACTGCTCTCAGGGGTTCTCTCCCTGCGGGCGTTTCTTGCTGGTCGCCTTCCCTCAAAACCTTGTGCTTTTTTGGTTGATTAAATGCAGCGTTTATGCATATTCCTGCAAATGCAWTCAGCGGTAACTTCCTGGCGTGCGAGGTGCCTTTGGGGAGCTGCGGTGTCTGTTTCTGCCCAGAGCGCTTCGTGTTTTGTGGGGGATCCTGTGCACATGTGGGTGACATAAGTACCGGTGCAAGGGCATCTTCTGGAGGCTTTTTCCCGGTATATGAGACCCTATGTGTGCCCGACAGCATGACGGGGTTATAGAAAGGCTTCTCTCTCCCCTTTGTGCTTTAATTTTAGGTTAGTGCCAAGATGCTGCTTGTGTGTGTTCCAAAGCTGGTGCTGAAATTATAGTGCCCAGTGCCATGCGAGATGCTGGGCTGGTCTCAGGTCCTCCTGTTCCGTGCTGGGATCGGGGAGCTTTTGGTGCCGCAAAAGTCCGATGCACGGACAGGCTGCAGAAGGTCCCAGGCTCCTTCTTAAACCTGCTGCTTAGTATTGATTACACTTTGATTTCTTTTATATCTGTCATTCCACGCTGCTGTGCTGCAGAGCCTGAGAGCTGCTCTGTGGCAGCCTTCCAGAGCAGTGACTTCAGTGGCCAGATGTCTTCTTCCACATGGCAGTGACCCTTTTCCTGGTGACGTCAAGATTGATTGATATGTTTATTTATTTATTTTGCCTTTGGTGTGTGTGGGCTCCAGGCCAGTGTCTCAGCGTGCAGGCAGCATCCTTTCTGCTCGAAAGCAAAGGATCCTCCGAGCGCTCTGTTGGACTGCTACCAAAAAGCACTTCTTTAAGTGTGGAATTATGAACTATTTCCCAAGAGACTGAACGCAGTCTGCCTAGTATGGGGAGAGCAAGAGATTGGCCTGGAGAAATAAGGCTGCCTATTTCAATAGGGCAACATTAAAGGGATATGTAAACCTCTYGAACCTTAAGCAGTGCAAAAATTCGAGTATTTTCAGGCTCCTGGCAAAAAATAAATAGAAGTCTTCTGATTCTTTCCACGGGTGTAGATTTTATCCTTTGTTGTATACTTTTCTTCCCCCTAGCTCTTTAATTCGTTCTTGTATTTTAATTTCTTGTTTGTAATACAAGAGAATCCTGAGATGCCGACAAGGGCCAGGCCTTCCTCCAGAGCACGTGGCATGGATGCTTGCTAACACATCCATAAACCTTCACAGCTATAAAGAATCAAAGAATGCATAAACAAAACTATATATAAAAGTATAAATAAATGTGAGGTGGAATAAGGTAGCATATAATCCTTTCTCGGCAGAAACTGAGACAGCAGTAGATAAAGTAACTTGTCTCTTGCCATAGAAAGGGTGTGTGGAAAAAGCAAAGCCTGATTCCGGCTTTCCCTTCCCAGGCCCCTTGCTAACAGATCACCCTTCCTTTCCTGCTGGCACCCAACATGGTGCTGGGGCCGTTTGCTCTTCCCAATTAACAGTTATGTGGTTTTTGCAATTGGTTTATTCCGCTCAATTGGAGAAAACCAATAGTTTTCATGTTGTTACGCACAGAGGGAGAAGAAGAAAACCAAAAACTATCGCACAGAAGATCTGAGTAGACATAAACACACGCTCTGTGTGGCATCCTATAACAGGGCTGCCAAACCAGTCTAGTTCAGCAATCAAATCGAATTACGTGTCAAAGATCTCCCTGCCGATGCTTGGGGGACACTCGATCCGTCATCGCTCCCTGCTTTCTTGGGAGCAACATTGCAAAGAACGTTCCATCCTCTGTTTTTTTTTGGGGAAAGGGGGTTCATTACTTAAATATGTGCAGATCTTCAGGTGAACCTCCCTTCTGTTAGGTGTCTTGTAGAGACACGCATAGTCGGTTCCAGTAAACAAATGTAATTACCTGGAAAGACCAGTTTGAGGGTATTTGACTGCCATCCCCAATAGATGTTGTGGTTTTCATCTCCCCGACACGCAGAGCCTTCTGTTTACCCAGCAGCTGTGCGGGAAATCTAGGAATCCATCCCTGCCTTGTTCCTGGCATGCTCGGAAGCCGGTGGTCTGGAGTGGCACCAAGGAGCTCTCCTTGGCAAGGAGCGCTGTGAGGCAGCAGTGTGGGATGAGGGACTATGGGGAATTTGGGAAGCCCTGGGGCGCCCTGCCAGTGCTCGGGGCAGCCCCCTCCTTGCTCCCCACTGGTACCGAGGGCCGGGCTGGGAGTCTTGGCTCATTTGGGCTTAAGGTGCCCGCGAGGAACAGCAGGGCTGAATGGTAGGGGTGATACCTGCTGTAAGGGCTCTGTGGCATGTGCAAAACCCCAATTGCCTCTGTGGTAATGCCCACAAGGAGGGAAAGAAGCGCTTAGCTCCACAACTAACAGTGTAACTGCACCTCTTGCTGCTCGCTGGCGGTGTTGACCCGAGCGCGGTGAGATCAGGGCTACCTGCTGCAGAACAGGCAGCGGGATGAGCTGTGTCCAGGTGCTTGTGTCCTCATGAGGGGACCTTGAACCATCTGTGACCCTCGGGAGCAGCCTCCCTTCCTGTCCATCCAGTGCTGAGGCCATTGAGGAGCCTCTGTGCGGCTCGGAAGGAAAGGGAACCCTGCAGTTAAGAAACAGGCTGCGTGAGGCCATGTAGGTGCCAGCGTTTGTGCCCAGAGCTGGGGGCTCTACATCTAAAAGACAGATCAGAAAATGTTTTGGGAGTCATGCTGGGTGTTTCCAATAGAAAGGAAGAGTTGGAGATAATTAATCAAACTGATCTTGCTGAGTCTGATAACAGACCGAATTAGACAAGTTTAAAACCAGCATAACCAGTTTTAATGCATTTATGCTGTGTGAACTGACGTGAGCAGAGGCCTCCACAGAAAAGCTCCCGTGGCTTCTGRGTGGTTTTCAACCCGTGTCAGCTGATACTGCCTATCTCTGACATGCAGTTTGGTGTAAACCAAGTTTATTAGCCGGGGTTACTTAAAAGCAAATTTAAATCACATCCAAAACAGCCAGAGAGAGTCCTCAATCATTTAATTAAACCAATTTAATAAAAGGAGCACATACATTGATTTGAGGCTGGTTTTTGTTACACAAGGGTTCTTATATAAGCAAAATTCCTGATACTAATTGCAGTAGCATGGAGATATGCCTACACAGAAAGCTTCTTTCTGAATCAGAGATTAATGAATACAGCTACCCTCGCTGGCTGGGTGAGTTGCACGGGGAGAGGATATTATCAGAGAAGTGGTGTGATATTATCTAGCCCAGCCGTAAAACCCGCCTTTGTTCATTCTATTTCCCATCTTTTTGTCACTGCGCTTCTGAAGCCACGGGCCCTGAAGCATGTAAAAGAAAAGGCAGTAACGTCACCATATAATTGCTTTCTGTCACAGTGGCAGCTGTGCGGTGCTCTCCCGGTTACAGCGGCCCATCCAGCCCCAAGGTATCYGCACCTGAGCGGCAACTCGAAGCCCTGAGACCTTGCTGCTTCTCCTGGCCTGCAGCCTCGCTTTTTCTTTTGGTATCGTTATAAATTAAGTCCAAATCATTAACACAGAACCAAATGTGTGTTTTCCTGATGCTCCCCTGGGGCTGGGCATAGGAGTAGAGTATAGTGTAGGCAACAGCTAGAACCAAAGGTATTTATTACAGTGGGTGAAAGGGAAGGTGGCACAACTCATGGGTGGCACATCCCAGAGTGAAGTGCTCATTCGTTCCTTAAATAAGCATAAAGTGGCACAGTCTAAACAGATTATATAATAGCAGCGAGTGAGATAATCCCTTCCCTGCATACCCGCGCTGCTGCTTCACGCTACAGCAAGGCTTAATGACTGCGATACTCCTTTATTAAAAGCTACCACTAACAGAATCAGTATGTGTATATGTGGAATTGCATAAATGCACATATAATTATTTTGAGGAATGCTGCTATCTGAGCACGACGCGTTTTGCTCCTGCTCCGTTCCAGCATCAGGGATGATGTTTCTTGCCAGAATACTACCCCTTTGTCCTCTGTGATAAACCCTCTTTTTGGCAGGAAATCCGGATTTATCCCCCTGGCTGTGACCTCGCCCCAGGAAACAACCGCCGTGACAGCATGGAGACAGAGGGAGGCCTCCCTTCCTCCCCCTGCKCTTCCTCCCCACTTCCAGGCTTTTCCTGCTCCGGCTGCAGGCTGGCGCTTTGCACCCGCTTTGCAGAGAAGGGGCTGTTCGAAGGCTGCAGGAAGAGGAAGGATGGCTTTTTTGGAAAGATGTTTGCCTCAAGTGTTCAAAGTCTTTAATGAATCCACTTTGGCCAGAGAGAGGTTAGGGATTTGCGATAACGGGAGCTCTCGCTGGCTCATCTGMATTCAGACCTA